CTATTTTGATTTTGGGATTATTAATTAGTACTCCTCTCTTTAGGTTGTTATTTCTACCCTTTTGTTGTCCATATTACATTCCTCATTTTTTGCCATTTATGTTTTGATAGATAATAATTACTTGCTCAGTTTGATTTATTCACCCGTTGTCTTTTTCAGCTGGTCCTTCAAGTATATTTGGTGGATCACTACCTCAAGAGCAAAATTACCAGCAGTAAACTATGTTTGGGTATTTATTATTTTTTGAGGGTTCGATAGTTTTCCTTCATATTTTTTCTATATTTATATTCCTGTTATCTTGTATCTAAACTAGTATTATTTGGATGTATTGAGTATTTGAACTTCTACTAATGATATGGCTATTTACATTCACTTACTCTGTTTACTCTAATGTATATATGTATCTTGTTGTATCTTTTGTATATATATACTTCTCTTTATAATATAAAATATATTTATCTATACTTTCATCACATCCCATGTTATCGGAGTATACCAACTTCCAAACTCGAGATGTGAGACTCATTTACAACTGATGGTGATCTTATCCAAAATGAAAAGTTCTTGAGCTTTCATAAGAAGACAAGGAAGGTCACTGTCCTGTGCATTATGGAGCAGAAATTTGGCAAAATTTTATATTAATACGTATTTATTAAATATCTTTATTCGACAGGTGGTTGAATGAAGCAGCTTATGATGTAAAATATCAATTAAAAACAAGAAAAATATTAATCAAGAAAGTTGCTTAAGAAATAACGTATTTGATACGGTGGATTGATAATTTTTTTAAATAAAAGATGAATGACAGTTCTCAAATTTCTATTGGCTTAAAAAAAGTACAGATTTTTTGGTGTTATATTAAGGCCAAAGATTTTGTTTGAGACAATTTTTATTACTATTTTATTTTTCATACAATAACTATAATTTATGTTTGATTACTATATTTTTATTGCTTTCAAAAAAATTTTATACAAGAAATTTGTTTTCTATAATAACTTTAATAATTATTTTCTCTACAAAAATTTTACAAAAACAAAACAAAAGCTGTCCCAAATTAGATGACTCCTAAATATTAGGAGAAATTATTACCTACGGAGACAGGACACAGATGACAGTTCAAATTGTCTCTATGAATAAAAGCACTTTACTGCGCTTTTGATGTTCACCACTGCGCTATTATTATTCATAGAGATAAAACCGAACGGTTTTCTGTATCAGATCTTCGGGCATAATAATCTCTCAACGTTAGAGGGATCTTTATCTTCTTCTAAGGAATCCGTGTCACAATAGGTTGTGGATTAATTTACACTTACACTTTCAAGAAAAAACACTTTCAAGGATGAATTTACAATTAAATTTATGTTTCGTTTGGGATGATTTTTTTACTGCTTTTTAAAATAGCTCTTTAGTATAAAAATTTCTAATTCGAAAAACTTTTGTACTAAAAAATTGATTTAAAAAATAGTAAAAAAATCACCCCAAACAAAATTTAATCAAATGAATATATATATATTGTAAAGGATGAGCCATAGAAGATTATTGTGGCCTAGCGCAATGGGATAAATGACCAACACAACAACATGTCACATTTAACTTGTATTTGTGATTGGTCTTGAAAAGATTTGTGACCGATTGTTAGTCATAAATAATTATAAATGTGCATGTTTGATCACAAGCTATCGCTAATTCTTACCTTATAAGTCATCTTTGCTCGATTGCCAATAATTTTTACTACTTATGACCAGTAATAAAATAATTTTTAGGAGAATTTGAAAAAAAAAAATTACAAACTCGAATGCACTTATAAAATTTCGAGCTCATAACTTCTTAATTGGCAGCATTAGCTTTCAACTAATGGCCCCATTAGTCAAAGACAACTTTCTTACTGCTTTCTAAAACAACTTGTTAGTATAATTTTTTTCTTTTTCAAAATTTTTTATACTAAAGAGCTGTTTTATAAGGCAATACAAAAGTTATCCTAAACGAAGCCCAAGTCAAACTCTCACACATATCACCTATGTAAGACTCAATGATGTAGAACTACAATGTCTTAGATGTATGTGATGAGAATTTGCACGACTTCTTGAATAAAACAATTAAGATTAAAACTATTAGCAATCAAAACGATAACAGAAAACATAAGAGGGGTGGCTGCACTTAGGCCAAATCACATGCTAAGCATTTAGATTATCAAAACAATTTAGATTTTCAATAACATGAAAATTAAGTAGCTTTCAAAAAAATCCCTACGCTAATAATGAGATTAGAAGCATAGAAAGTTACACTCAATTCCTACGATTAATAGGCTTGGCAGAGATAGGTGAGCATGACCTTCATGAATCAAATCAAACCACAAGAGAGAGTTAAACTACGAAAATAGAATAGTAGGAAGATTGGAAGACCTTTGTCACGGCTTGGACGTAATCCACCTTTGAACGGTACCAAGTTGCCTCTCTATGGCTTTAGTGAGAGTATCTAGAATGCGCTACACATATTCCTCGACGGTGTTTTCGATAGCCGGATTGACGTCGAAGAAAGTGGAGTGAAGGATGTGAACGAAACCTTGCTCGTCGTAGGCAATGTCGTAATCAAGTTCAGGGTCGGCCATTCATGTGTGGAAAGAGATGTAGGTGGAAGGCTTATGATCTTCCTCGATTTGAGAGAGGGCAAACTTAAGAGACTAGAAGAAGATTTGAGAGAGAGGGTGGGGAAAGGGGTTCAACCAAGGAGAAAGAGAACACAACGTTGATATCAGGATTTATGTTTGAGAGAGAAAGAAGTTTAAAATCTGAAGTGAATTTTCAGATTTTAATTGGAGGGATTTTGGGAATTGGAATTTAAATTTAATTCTAAGAAAAGGAAAGGAAAATTAATGGAGAGAGAGAGAGAGGGAGATGCGGTTTGAATTGTTTCCAAGAGATAAGCTTGTTTTTTGGAAAGAATTCCATAGAGAACCAAGAGGGGGGCCGAAGACATAGGGAGATGATTGGGGGGAAATTAAATAAGGTTTAATGCTTTCCTCATTGGGATTCTCTAATTAGGATATAGGATTTAATTACAATCTCAATCAAATCAATTTGAATTTGATTTTAGAAACTTTCCTAAAATAGAATCATATTTTAGGAAATGTTTCAAATTCAAATTTGATTTTTTGAATGATTGAAATTATCACCCCCCAAAAGAAATAAATGATAAAAGGAAAGTAATAATGAGATTTGCAAATTTCGAAGACCAAGGGGAGCAAGGGGTCTGCGGTTTGGTGGGTGAGCTGGGTGTTGGGTGCTAGTCAACGGGTGAGGGTGGGGTTGGGTGCTAGTCAACGAGTGAGGTGGGGTGATTAGCGTCCGTTGGTGTGGATTTTGTGGAGGTGGACAGAGGCTTGAGGTGGTGGGGGGCCGCGGGTTGGAGGAATAAGGAGGGAGGAGGGTTAGAGATAAAGAACAAATAAAAAAGGCCACGAATCCGAACTCTTCCAAAGCTGCTGGGTGATTCGCTTCCCTCTCCAAGGGATTCCTATCTCGAACTCTCTCAAGCTCTCGCAAGAACTCACAATGCAAAAAAATTTATCATTCATTCATTAACATGAACAAGGAATAAGAGGGCTATATATAGCATCATACAAATAACTCAAAAAAATAAAAGATGATGATGCCCTCTGGGCTTACATACGACCTCCCTTAAGTAAGAGGTAAAAGCGGAAAACACTAATAAAACAAATACAACATAAAATAATAAAGAAAATATATAATACGACTCAGAAGTACATTGACTTAATCGTAATCGTAGATCGACGGCCACGTCTCTGATAGACTTTCCAAGCTCTGATGTCCCAATCACTCAAACCCAAAGTTTTTTGGTCAATAGTAAAAATTTCTAATCAACAGATCAAGATGAACTACTTATACATCAAATAGTATAAATAGTATATCATTGCCCTTAAATTGAGGGAAGCCGCATGCCCAATTCTTTATAATAATTTTTGACAAGGCATGAAAAATATAAAAGCACACTAATTGAACTCCAAAAATGAAGAAGCCATGGCCCCATTAGTCAAAAGACTAATAGAGTTATTAATGACATATTGTAGGTGTCTAATAGCAGCAACAATAAATTGAAAAACCTTCCAAAAAAGGTTGTTACTTAGAGGACAAGTGCAAATAAGTATATAAAGAATTAACTAGGCACTAATTGTCCCAAAAAGATCACATTATTTTTACTTTGTAAGTATCATTAAGATTAAAAGATAGATGAGGCTCGCCCGATCTCTAAATCTCTACATCCATATGTCATAGAAGTGGCTATGAGTTACCAAAAACTTTGATTATGAAGATGAAGTCGCGACATAATCATATTGGGAAGGAGCTTCAATTGTTGTCCTCTGCCTTCCCTATCTATGCAGAGCTTCCTCCACTATCAAACATCTTATTCACCTTTGTCCCTAGCTCAAACTTCATAAATCCCTCCGCCATCTTTAGCTCTATTGGCGATGTTGTGTTCGATTTCATCCTCGGTAATTCCGTGTTTTTACTAGTAGAGTAAATAATGTATCTATTTTTGGAGAGATTATTACGTACGGAGTCTAGATATAGCTTTTTGTCGGATTTCAATAACATGTTTACACATTTTCTCTCTATTGTACAGATATTGTGTATAAGAGGGGGAAAAAAACAGACATAAACATGTGATTGGAGTCCGGACACCATCCGAACTCTGCACGTAATAATTTTTCCTCTTTGACCTATAAATGAAAAAAATATAAAGCATGTGAAACATGCGGGTATGAAATTGTGATACAGAGGGACAAGTGTTTTATTTTTTATGATATTTAAAATTTTAAATATTATAAAAATAAATAATAAAATTTAAATATTAAGTTGATAAATGAGAGTTTTGAATAACTTGAAAGGGGCCGGATTCTCCGAGACTAACGGACTGATTGAGGTTTTTATAAGAGAATTTCTGACTAAAACGATTTTTTGGTAACGTTACTGAAATCCACAGCATCACGTGCTCTACGCTGCAGCGGTCCATTTTCATCATAGATCTTGTCCGCTTTCTCTCTCTCTCTCGAACTCTCTCTCTCTCGCTCATAAATCAACCGGCCAGTTAACTCTGCAAAGCCCATTACGATTTTCATTGGCTTGTAGTGGAGGGGAGAGAGAATGCTCTTGCTCTTCGTTGTGCTTCTCTTTCTCTCGAAAGGTTGCCTTACTGTTTCTTCTCAGAATATTGGCTATGGCTACCGCTTGGTCTCCCTTCAAGAGAATCTTGACGGAGGAGGGCTTATTGGACATCTTCTACTGAAGAAGGCCACCTCCACTTATGGCCCTGATATTCCTCATTTGAGGCTTTTTGTCAAGTAAGTACACAGCATATGCTGTAAAGTTCTAGCTAAAAGCCCCTTTTTCCTTTTTTTTTTGTTTTTGTTTTCCCTTTCTATTTGATGTGCCCAGACATTGCTTGGTTGATCTCACATGCGTTCCACAAGCTCTTAGATTATACTTTATCTTTTATTTTACTCGCTTAATCTGAAGGTTCTAGACAAATTTCCTCCTTTTGGATAAGGTTTTTTATTTTATTCATTTTCGTGTTCTTTGTTTTTTTTTTTCGATTTCATAAATTTCTGATTTACTCTGAGGAATTCAGCCCCTCTTTTGATTATATGCATTATTCAATTTTTGAACGATGTTTTTTATGACTGGGGTTCAAAATTTTCTTTTCTTTAATCTTTTTATGGGTTTACTGGAGCAGTGCTTTTATGACCAGGATTCAATTTCGTTTTTTAATAGTTTATCGGTGTACTGAAATTATATTTTTTAATGCTTGTCTGACATGTTGGATTCATATCATCTTATTAAAATTTGTTGTTTGTTTGATTCTCTGACATCTTAGTATTACAAAGATATAGATGCAGGTTTCAACCATTGTCTTCTATCTAATTTTGTTTGCCAGCTTTCCATCGTTTATGTATGTTGATGGCTGAAAGAAATGGGGGAAATGAGAGATCCCTAATCCCTTATAGCCAATGACATTGAATCTAACACCATTTGATAACTTGCTCTGACACAGCACTACAATCTACTTAGATTGTTCCATTCAATTCTGAACCAAACAATCTTTTTTGGATTCTCCTTCTCAAAAAAAATTTGGATGTTATGCAGACATGAAACTAGGAACCGATTGAGAGTTCACATAACTGATGCAGAGAATGAGAGATGGGAAGTTCCATACAACTTGCTTCCAAGAGAGGAACCTCCACCACTAGAGATTCATAATCAGAAAACCTCAGGCTTTCCCTTCACGGCCTCAGAGTTCTCCGGCGAAGAGCTTGTTTTCAGCTACATATCAGATCCATTTGGGTTTGCAGTTAAGAGAAGATCCAATGGAGAGACACTCTTTAATTCAACCACTGAGGCCGAAGATCCTTATGCCTCCCTTGTCTTCAAGGACCAGTACTTGGAGATCTCCACTAGCTTGCCTAAGTATAGTTCACTCTATGGTTTGGGGGAGAATACACAGCCTCGTGGGATTCAGCTTCAGCCAAATGATCCTTATACTTTATACACAACTGATATTTCTGCCATTAATCTTAACAAGGATCTTTACGGCTCACATCCGGTGTATATGGACTTGAGGAATAGGAATGGAGAGACTGCTGCACATGCAGTCTTGCTACTTAACAGCAATGGGATGGATGTTTTCTATAGGGGAAGCTCTCTAACCTATAAGATCATCGGAGGAATATTTGATTTTTACTTCTTATCAGGGCCAATGCCTCTCGATGTCATTGATCAGTATACTTCTTTGATTGGCAGGCCAGCTCCAATGCCTTACTGGTCTCTAGGTATTATCACATCTTTACCATGATTACTTGATTTATTAAGAAAAAAGTTTCGTTTAATCATTTTTCTGTTGATATTACAATGGATGCTTTTAATGATCATTTTTATTTTTTATGAAAATTTTTCCTGTTGTTTTGAAGTGGTTAGCATGCATCCTCTTAAGAAATTGTGAATTTATCACCTAAATATGGCATGCTTGCCTTGGAATTCATTTTTGCTATTAACCCCCAAAATATATCTGAGATGGATTTTTCTCATCCTAATAGGAGAATAACTATTGTCTTCCAAATTTTATTTTTTCTTCTAATTCATTGGATATTCTTTAAAGTAAAGGTTATATCATTCATTATGAATTATAATTCAATAATTACTTGATGATTGAGTTTCAGCAGATTTTACAATAATTTAATCATCCATTGAACGTGTGCGAAACATAAGATTGATTAAATGACATGTTGAAGCCATCTTTAAAGTTTAATTTTATCTATGTACTTCACTAAACGAAGTCATAAATTACCCTCTAACTATCTTCAACAAATATTGTATTTAATTTAGAAGTTTCTATGCTTTAAAATTGTAATTATCTTATCAAGCAATTTGAACACTCGATTAAGAAAAATGATACTCATGATATATAATAAAAAGACCTTAAAAAAGTTTGAAATCATGGAATCCACTATTTTTTGATGATATTTAAGGGAATCCATGATATATATATATATATATATATATATATATATATATATATATATATATATATATATGTGTGTGTGTGTGTGTGTGTGTGTGTGTGTGTGTGATTGTGTGTGTTAGATATTTTGAAACAAAGCTGCATAAGCTTCATCATTTTAATTTTATATTTTTAAAAATATTATAATATATAATGATGATAAAAAAAATCATATTTTGCAAAATTCATGTTTTTACCATTTTCATTTAGATTCATTAATGTAACACATTAAAACGTGATCAAATTAATTTGAAGTTAGTTTTATATTGTTTATTTATCTTGAATGAATATTATTATAATGGATCAAGCTTAAAATGAATTTTTACAAATAAAAAATACATGATAGCAAGTTAACCATCAAATTTTGTGGCTAATGAAATATAAGTAATACACTTGGATAAATGTGGAGGATAATATGATAATAATCCAAAAGAAAAAAAAGCATATAAATGGCAATGCGGAAGTTAAAGGGAAAATATAGTGTAAATAGGGTGAAGTAAAAGGCAACATTTGACGAAAGAGTTGATGATGTAGAAATGACGAAAGTTTTTGACTTAAGTTATAGTAAGGGAATCTTTAGTATAAATAAGAAGCGGTAAATTTCTTGTTTTTGTTTTGCCTATTTTATTTTCATTTCATCTTTTTTAATAGCATAAAAGTTGAATTAGATTGTTAGAATTCAGAAAAGTGTAAACTTTCTGTGCTCTAAAAGCATCATAAAGCATACACTCTGCATCAAGAATTGTAAGTATCATGCTACAAAGACTTTGATGTTCATGCTTTGGAGCATTTTGGCCTGCTTCACTTCAAATTGTGTTTTTTCGTGCTTGAAAGCTTATATATATGCAAAGCTCTTTTAAAAGATTATTTGTCTTTGGTGCTTTTGCATATGTTTCTAATAAGGTTTCGACTTTGGAGTATTTGGAAAGAAGGTTTTAGTTGTGAGGTGATTCCTAATTTTGAGCAACTTGTGAGTGTATATATAACTTGTGGAAAATTTCTACTGCTTATTCTTTTGTTTATGCTAGTTGCTGTAAAGTTCAAATAAGGAGTCTTTAACAAAATCTTAGAAATTTTGTTGCTTCAGTAATTGGTCCAATATTAGTTGGAGAAGATTTTAATATCATTTTGCATGTTGAGGAAAAAAAAGAAGGTGATAAGATGTAATAATCCAAAAGTTTCAAATGAATTTATTTGGAAACATGAAAATATGATCCAGCAGATAAAACATGAAAATATGATCCAGCAGATAGCGTCGCTGCCCTGGGCTGGCGAGCGACACGACTTAGGGCTGGCAAGCCTCACAAAGTTGGGTTGGTGAGCATCGCGCCCCTGGATGGCGAGCGCCGAGATGCTGGGCTGACAAGGGTAGTAGTGCTAGGAAATGCAGTTGCAACATTGAATGCTCTGTTCTATAGAAACTTTGGGAGCTACATGTAGCATAGCGGTGCTGAATCTTGGGCGTCGCAGTGTTATGAACTAAAAATATATATTTTTTATTTAAATATCCCTACTATCCCACCACCTCTCCCCTCATTTCACATTTATTATCGAGGAAGGAAAGAAAAGAGAAGAATAATAGAAGGGAGAGAGAGGAAGGGAGAGAGAGAGTCTTCCATAGCTTTTTCATCCGTCGCTTTTGTTAAGAATTTTGTTCTAATTGATGTAAATGATTAAACTCTTACTTCTGTTTTTGATGGATTTTGATTTCTACAATTGTATCTTCTTTTAAATCAATAAAAAGGTATTTTCTCCTTATTTGTTGAACTTTTTCCATGCAACTTTTGGTGTGATAGACATGATTATTATGAGCATTTTGACAGTAATATTATTACATTTCACCAATTAAATTAATATTTATGATTTATTGAAGTTAATGAATAGTATATAATTTTTCCTACATTTCATAGCTTATTGCATTTCATATTTGATATTGAACTGAATATAAAAATTAATAGAATTTATATGTGATAAATGCAGCATTTGTATATAAGCAAAGAATGCTGGCTATAAATCATATAATTAATACGGGTTGACTATTATAACATAATACATTGTATATGAGGGTGGGCTGATGAGCTTTTCTTAAAATAAAAGAATTGTGGTGTAATCCTAAAAGCATGTATATGATTAACTGATTACGCTGATGGATAAAGAGTGACAACTCTTCATTGATTTATCGAAAAATGTCTGTGAATTGATTTAAGATATATGAGTAATGATGGTAAGATAAATATTGTTGATCAATTGATCGATAGTTGAGGTTAAACTAAAGAGTGATAACCAACTGGTAGATTGTTGGGGTTAAATTAAAGACTGATGATCAATTAGTCGATGATTCATATTGAATTTAAGATTGATGACTAACTGGTGGATAGTTGAGGTTAAAGATGTTGAAAATACCTCATAAAACGTTGAATATCATGCTTTGTTGAATTTCATTTTGATAAGCATACATGATAACATACATAATTGCATTCATGATATGATGGATATACAAATAACAAATACGACAAATGATAGATAAGATAGATAAGCTTGATGATAGATGTGACTGATGATTGATGATATATAAGATTAATAGCTGATAAGACTAATGACAAGTGATATTGATTGATTTATGATCAGTATTGATAATGAAGATAATCGGCATAATTGATAGATTGAGACGTGATATAAAAAAAGACTAATAAATTGACATAGGTGATCGGTACAAATAATATATATTGATTCATAAATTTTCTTATATGATTTACTACATATTATTTCTCTTTTTATGCATTGATTTAAGTGGTAAGAATTTGGTTACTTGTTGGGCTATGTAGTTATTATGTTATTTTTGCATGATTCTAGGCTAGGGTAAGGAGCCTACAGAGTGAGGTTAATTGGTGTGTGATGATTTAGATTTTATTTCCCGCTATTTAGTTTTATCTGTTATTTTATAGTATATTGTTGTTGACTATTGTATATATAATTTTGAAAACTTGATAGATATGTAAATATTTAATGATTAATAATATAATTATATTTTTGATAAACCCTTGTGGGGCCCAGGAAATCTATTATTCATTATGTAAAGAGGAATTAAGGGGGAACTAATTAGGAAAGGTTTTTTCAGGTAAATGGGGTTGGTTTGGTTGGAAGAGAATTAGGAAATGTTTATTTAGGGAATGAGGGTTGATTTGATTGGGAGGTAATTAGGAAATGTTTATTTAGGGAAAGATGGATGATTTTATTAGGAGGGAATTATGAAAGATTTATTTAGGAAAAGATGGCTAATTGGAATTCGGATTTGAGAGGGAAGTGTGAAGGTTTATATTAGTGTTAATTGGTTGATTTTATTTTCATTATGTGATTGTGTTTGCTGTAGTTTTTCTTTGAAGTTGTTCCTAACAACGCCTATGATTTTTGGGAGAACCGATATACCTCTTAAATAGTAGATCAATTGTATCTTTAATTATTTGTTGAAGAGATAATAAAAAGTTAGCTCTAATATTTGGTTCTTGCATTTTATTTCTTATCTGCTTATTGTTTTTATTTTCAAGATGCATCATATTGATATCAGAGCAATGTTTTGAAGAGATGATGGCAAAAAAGGTGGATGCATTGGAAGTAGGGGTGTCAAAATTGGGTTGTGGTTCGGGTTCGAGTTGAACCCGAAACTGACTCGACACTATTTGACACGACCCGAACAGACTCGTTTTTGCAAAAAAGTCATAAAATTCAACATGGAAGGAATGTCATGGAACCACGAACGTTGTTGTCCCAAAAGGAAGGAACGTCGCCGAACATCATCGAAAGAGGAAGGAACATCGTCGACCCTACATGAAGGAATGTCATTAAACATCATCGAAGGAGGTGAAGGTCGTTGACCCGAGAGAACGAATGTCGTCGAAGGAGGTGAATGTTGTCAAAGGAGGAAGGAATGCCGTCAAGGGCAGTGAACGTCGTCGAAGGAGGAAGGATTGCCTTCGAAGGAGGTGAATGGAGTCGAAGGAGGAGGGAATGTCGTCAATGGAGGTGAACGTCATCGAAGGAGGAACCGAGGAAGGCAGAAGAGCGACTAGGGCTCGTGGGCGGAAGCTTATTCGCTTATATGTCGGATGAAGACGGTCAAAATCAAGTTCAAATTGAGTTTTCGGGTTGACCCATACCCAACCTGATATTCAAATAGGTCAAAAATTGGGACCCGAACTCTAGCCGTTCTTAAATCGTGTTAACCCTAACCCCAAAAATTCATGTCAGGTTCGATTCAGATTTTCGTGTTGTGTC